AGGGGGTCTACCGGGGGGGGACCTGGCACAAGGAAGAGCGGTGGCGGGGGGAGGGACGGAGTGCGGTAGGGGAAGAGGCGGTAGTAGGGGACCGACTCGTCAAACGTGACGTCCTGGGAGGACAAAACACGGCGAAAGGTGGGGTGGTAGAACTGCCAACCTGGCGCGTCAGGGGGGAAGCCAAGGAAGACGCAAGGAGCAGCACGAGGGGACAGCTTGTCCGCAGACCAGTCGCGAACAAACGCCCGAGATTCCCAGACACGGAGCACAGACGCATCGCCAACCGTCCCCGTCCACAGCAAAGCTGGGGAGGTCTCCGGCATGGAGACCCTGGGGTGAAGGTTGATCTGATGCGCCGCGTACCGAACCGCAAACGGCCACAGAAAATGGGGGGCAGCCGCATGCATCATGGACATACGAGCGACATCCATGACCATGCCAATGCGGCGCTCAGCAATCCCATTTCGCTGTGGAGAGTCCAGAAACGTGAAGGTCTGGCGGATGCCTCATGCACGACAGTAGGCTCGCAGAAGGCCAGAGGAGAACTCTCCGCCTCTGTCCGAGTGCAGACGCAGAACAAGAAAGTCCGAGCCGAAGCCCTGCCTGAGCTGGAGACGAGCTGCGCGGATCCAGTCGATCAACACCTCAGTGACATCACCCTTGCTGCGCAAGGGGAAGACTGTGGTGTAACGCGAGTAGTCATCAACCACCAGTAGGAAGTAGCGCTCGTGACCCTGTCCACGGACGCGGGCCGGGCCCCACACGTCCATGTGAAGCGTCTGCAGCGGGGCCTCTGTCGGAGGAAACTGGGAGGAGTGAGGGGCAGCCCGCTGCCGCCCCTCGAAATAGGGGACGCAGGTAGGGCCAGGCCCAGGAGGAAGGGGAGGGAGGGACCGGGGAAGACCAGAGACAAGGACACGGGAGGCCATGCCTCTGAGACGAAGCAGGGAGTGGTGACCAAGGCGGTGGAGCCAGAGGACAGTCTCGTGAGACAGGAGGCGACACGAGCAGGGGGCAGACTCGGGACCAGACCTGGACGCTGCAGCAAACACCTGACCCGACGCAGCTACCTGACCAGAAACAATGACTAGAGGAGACGCAGTGGTCAGTGTGTACAGGCTCGACCCCGGCCGACGTGTAAACGTGGCCAAGTGTCGGCCTGTCCGAGCGTGCGTGCAGTGGGTCACCCGCTGACGCGCAGGAGTGAACTGGTGAACCCCTGCATCCTGTAGGTCAGCACCACTCACCAAGTTCGTAGAGAACGAGGGGAGGTAAAGACCAGACAGGGTGCCAGAGGGGGCCGTCGGACACGGGAGGACAGTGGAGTAGTGAGCAAGGACAGGACCCCCAGAGGGGTGTGCCAGAGAGACTGCAACTGGCCGGCCAAGCGGCGTGAGTGTGGTGCGGTCTCGAAAGAAGGAGCGAGAAGCCCCCGAGTCAAGGGTGAAGGTGTGGGAGGCCAAAGCCGACGCAGTATCCGAGAGAGCAGACTCACCAGCACTTGAGGGAGCAGACGCACGAGCACCTAGAGCAGCAGCCTCACTAGCACCTAGAGCAGCAGCCTCACCAGTACCTAGAGCGGCAGTCTCAATGCCCGGGTCGGGCAGAAAACACCGGTAACAGTCACCCTCATCACTAATAGTCACAGTATACATGGCAGCAAGAATAGCATCAAAATCAAGGTCAAAGACAGCTACTCCCGCCCTAGACAGCTCACCCCAGCGGGGGATCTCCGTGGCCTCCGGGAACTGGTGACGCCAAGCGTCCGTCAGGTGGCCAAAGCAGCGCTGGGTGGAGTGCACACCCCCGCACTGCTCACCCGCGCGGTCGCCGGTGCGTAGGACGTAGGTGCACGGACCAGTACCCCCACCCCGCTGGCGTGCAGCGTACCACTCACGGAGCTGCTAAGGGGAGGGGATGTCACGAGTGCGCTGCTGCTGCTGCTGTTGCTGGCGCTGACCACCACCTGAGCCGACCCTCTGCGCAACGCCACCCCGACCAGCTCCACCTTCTCCACCACCGCCACCTCCACTGCCGCCACCTCCGCCACCACCTCCGCTCCCACCGCCACCGCCGCCGCCTCCGCCTCCACTGCCGCCACCGACACCTCCACCCCCGCCACCACCCTCACCGCCACCCCCACTCCCTCCGCCGCCTCCACAGCCGCCTCCACCGCCCCCGCTAGCTCCTCCAGCGCCCCTGCCCCCCGTGCCCTTGCCAGGGCGGCGTATCCCGCTAGAGGTAGACGCCGCACCGACCGACTCAAGCCCAACGAGGTCGGCCGCAGCAGCAGAGGCAACAGAGGGCAAAAGGGGGGAGGGGGAACACCCCTCAATGATGGGGGTGCGAGGGTCACCACGAGAGGCTCCTACAGCGACTATGCTCTTCTCCGCTGCTAGGAGGGCCTTCTCGCGGAGGTCAACGGTGAGGGTGGTGGGGCAAACTGAGAGGAAGTGGTCCCTGAATACGCGAAGGGAGTCAGGGAGGCGGGTGACTATGTAGTAGAGAGTGATGTTCATGGGGGGGGGGGGGGGGGGTTCTTGGCGCAGAACTCAGCAGGATGCGCAGCGCGGTAGCGAGTGTCACTAGTGCGGAGGTGCGTAATGAGGTCAGCGACTGTGGGAAAGGCAGCAAGGTCAGGGAAGAGGTACGGTAGCATGAGGCGGCTCAGTGCAGCAGTGGCAGGGGAGGAGTAGCGTGCAACTATAGCGTCGTACAAGGTCTGAGCACTCTTGTACTGGCTAAAGTGCGCACGCTCAGAGGTAGGCAGGTGGCGACGCACAGCAAGACGTGCAGCAGCATCGCGTGTGGCCCACTGTGAGCGAACAGTGGCGTCAGCATCAGCAGCAGGGGCAGGAGAGGCACCAGAGGTGAGGTCAAAGAGGGAGAGACCATCTGCCCTATCGCACGGTAGGAAAAGCTGCAGGTCATCTATCCAGACATCAAAGACAATGGCCCGACTCTCAGCGTCAAAAGCGAGGACACTAGGGGTAGCCATGACAGAAGTAGACTAGTAGCGCGAACGGTGGGGTAAGGGCAGTGCAGTGATAGAGGCGCTGCTCTTACCGGACAGGGCGGCTCGGGCGGCTCGGCGGCTCGGCAGCTCGGCAGGAACTGTAGCTCGGCGGCTCGGCAGGAACTGCAGCTCGGCGGCTCGGCAGGAACTGCAGCTCGGCGGCTCGGCTACTCTGCGGCTCGGGCGGCTCGGGCGGCTCGGGCGGCTCAGGCGACTCGGGCGGCTCGGGCGGCTCGCCGGGACGACGGCTCGGGCGGCTCAGGTGGCGCGGTGGCTCGTGCGGCTCGGGTGGCATTAGCGGCTCGGTAGTAGTTCGGCGGGGCCGCGTGAAGGCGGGGTTGAGGCCGGGAAGGGCGTGCGACGGGGCCAGTAGGGGCTGGGCCGGGGCCGGGAAGGGGCGGCGCCGGAGCCGTAAGGTAGGCGACGGGGCCAGCAGAGACTGGGCCGGGTCGGGAAGGGCGGCGTCGGGGCCGAGAAAGGGCGGCGCCTGAGAAGGGAAGGGCAGCGACGAGGCCGCAGGGCTAGGCGACGGGGCCAGCAGGGGCGGGGCCGGGTTGCGAAGGGCGGCGTCGGGGCCGGGAAGGGCAGCGCCAGGGCCGCAAGGAGGCGACGGGGCCGCAGGTAGGCGACGGGGCCGCAGGTAGGCGTTGGGGCCGCAGGTAGGCGACGGGGCCGCAGGTAGGCGACGGGGCCGCATGTAGGCGACGGGGCCAGCAAGGGCGGGGCCGGGTCGGGAAGGGCGGCGCGAGGGCCGCGGGGTAGGCGATGGGGCCGAAAGGGCGGCGAATCGGGGCCGCGAAGGGCGGCTCGAGGGCCGCGGGGTAGGCGACGGGGCCGCTAGGGCGGCGGATCGGGGCCGTCAAGGTCGGCGCGACACAGTGAGAAAGGGGGAGCGCGACTCGGGCAAGGGCTGAGCGCGCTCCGGGCAGGAAAACAAATCGAATCGGTGGGCCCTAGGAACAGTTCCCACGAGGGAACCTGCTCGATACCATGAGAAAACTGAAACGAGAATGAATGCACTATGAAAGAGTTTGGTACAAGTACTAACCCTAATTGGGTTGTACCCCATATGGGCTACCCCACTACAGCCTACACAAAAGCATAAGCTATAATGTTCTGACACAATGAACGAAGGCATGAGCGAAGAATATATAACGAAACTACAGTGGTAACGGTAATAAACTGTGGTTGACCCGCGATGGGCATGGAACTTAGGTTGGGAAAATATCGAAGCGGAGGCCCGGAGCGCGGGTTACCCGCCGAGCCGTGAGGTCGGGGTGCGACGTGCGAAGGTGGCGGGAGGATTGTCGATGCGAGGGTTGCGAGTGGTAACGGTGCTGATTGTGGTGCTACAATGGTGTACGCGCTGAGCAGGGACGCGAAGTAAGGAAAAGGAATTTTCCTTAAAAAGGGAAACCGATGTCAGTTGAAGGAGCAACATTGACTTCATGAGTGGATTGAATTCTCTATGCTTTCATGATTTTTTTCGCATGATTTTTTTCATCAATACACCCGAGATGAATTTTCTTCTTAATTTAAAACCTGATCTCCCTTAGTCCTGGTTGAAGCGCGTTAGCATTTAGTGGGTACTGTAAATTGTGGTCCCAAGCGAGGCGGACCCTTCTGGCCCAGAATCTAGGAATAGGGTACAGTGCGCCTCCGCTCGCGTCTCCCTCACGACAGTTCCGTCCCAATTCGAGTTCAACCAATCCCAACCATTTTCACAACCCAGCCAAAGCAACCGAACTTAAATCTTTTCAAAAACTCAAGAAAATCTCCTGACTTCGTTTCCCTAATCCAACGAGCAACCGACCTTATCCAGAAATTCGTCCTCCCGGATTTCCTTCCACCTTGCCGAAACAGCCAAATATTCTGTGTTTGCCTGAAACTCTTACGCTGCAGAATTCATTTGCTTCTGGTGGTCCATTTGATCACATTGCACGTTATTTCCCCTGCGCCTGCTAGGTTCAGCCTCGACGGAGAAATGGATCGCGATCAAGCGCTGCGGCGACTTCAGGTTTACGGTCGCCATATCGCACCCGCCTATTCGACCCCTCCAGAAACCACCAATAACGAGGCTGCTTACAACGAGTCCCAGCTGAACCTGCAACCCTGCAGTAACAACAGCGATCGCAGCGGCGCGACCGGCGTGTATGCTTCAGCCACAGGAAAGCCATCTAAGTATGCGTTAATGCACGGCGAGGTGTCGAGCGCGCCGGTAGTGTGGCAGCCGGGTCGCATCGAGGGGCCTCCGCTCCAAGACGTTCTTTACGAGACGGCCGTTGGAGAGGGGATCGCCAAGGTATAACCGATGTGCTGCCTCCTTTGGAAAACTGTTTACCAAGGGACGTGCATTCGTGAAGGGAGTGCCACAGTGGTATTACTAGGAAAAGTGTCGCCATTCGTCGTCTAAGAGGATCGCCTGATAACCACCTCAACACCCTCCCGCAATCCTGACCGTCAGATCACGATCAACCGACCCGAGAGGAGGAACGCTTTCCGGCCGGAAACGGTGAAGGAGCTGAAGCGCGCGTTCGACGCTGCGAGGGACGATGTGACCGTTGGAGTGATCATCTTCACCGGCAAGGTGAGAAGCTCAACACAAGGCGATGGTGAGATGAAAACACAGGCCAGGCGAGCCTTTCAACGCAAGCTGAGTCTACTAAGAGTGACCAGGCCGCGAGGGGGAACAACCGAGAACGGAATTCCACCAACCCGTTTCTAGCTTTTCACCTTTTCTCGTCCTTTCGCACCGTCCCTGTTGTCTCTCAGGGGGACCTGTCATTCTGCAGCGGCGGAGACCAGGCTGTGAGGGGCAAGCACGGATACGTCGGGGGCGACCAGGTGCCGCGCCTCAACGTGCTGGACCTGCAGGTGTGCTATTCAGGAGAAAAAAGGGGAGGGGGAGGGGGAGAGGGAGGAGGAGGGGGAGGGGGAGGGGGAGGGGGAAGGACCCTATCATTGTGTGCACATGTGTGTGGGGGGCGACCAGGTGCCTCGACTCAACGTGCTGGACCTGCAGGTGTGCTTTTCAGGAGAAAAGGGGAAGAGGAATGGGAAGGGGAGAGGGGGGGGGGGGGAGGGGGGGGGGGGGGGGAGTAGGACCAGGAACCACAATTGAATATAAATGCTCTCATACTCATTCCAGGCACCTCTCGCTCCCCCCTATCTTGCTGTCGCTGCATTCCCCCCTCCCTTCCCCGTACCATGATCCCCCTGATTCTCTTATCACCTGACTCATAATGAGATTTGCTGCTTTTTTAGGCGCCCCAAAACGATCTTCTTATCACCTGCCTATGACGGTGGCTCCCTCTTCCCCTCCATTTTCCAACCCTTCCTCCCCCCCACCACTTTCCAACCCTTCGCCACCCCATAACCCCTCCAATTCTCTTGTCCACCGGCTCATAATGAGGGTTGCGCTCCCTCCTTCCCCTCCTTCCCCTCCGCCACCCTCTCCTTTCCACCACGTTCGACCCTCCCCTTTCCACCACGTTCGACCCTCCCCTTTCCACACTTTCCCCCTCTGCCGCTCGTGTCACTGCAGGTTCAGATTCGGCGGACTCCCAAGCCAGTAATCGCCATGGTAAGTCAATGATTTCCCACGTGATAAAGTCCGTCCAACTGCATGTGTTGCACGTGTTGCATGTGCTGCGCTGCTGCGTGTTGCGTGTCCCTCGTTCCTCAAGAGCATGCATCAGTTCTGCTCTGGTCTTCAAGCATTTCTCTTCTGCGTTCCCTCCCTCCATCCGAGTGCAGGTTGCAGGGTACGCCATAGGAGGAGGCCACGTGCTGCATCTGGTGTGTGACATCACCATTGCTGCTGACAACGCTGTGTTCGGTCAGACCGGCCCCAAGGTGAGGGGGGCGCTTGACGTGGGTCAGGGCCTGAAGGTGAGGTGACGCAGGGAGTGAAGGTGGGGCAGAGGCAGGCGCTGAAGGTAGGTCAGGGGCAGAAGGGTACGCCATAGGGGGAGGTTACGCGCTGCATCTGGTGTGTGACATCACCATTGCTGCTCACAACGCTGTGTTCGGTCAGACCGGCCACCTGGCTTGCTTGTAACTGTGCCTGATCATCTGGCCCTGTTGGTCAAGCACAGTTACAAGCAACCCACCTATGCCCCTGTTGCTGTTCCCCGTTGCCCTGCATTATCTGCCCTTCTCCCCTTACAGGTGGGCAGCTTTGATGCGGGGTATGGCTGTTCTATCATGTCCCGAGTCGGCTCTTGCCCGTAACCAATGCTTCCTCATATTAGTCGTTCCCCCCTCAATAACTGCTCCTTATTCCTACCAGGTGGGCAGCTTCGATGCAGGGTACGGCAGCTCTATCATGTCTCGCTTCGTGCCCATCACTGTAACCCTCACCTCACCTATGCTCTGTTAACGCCCCTCACGAGTCACCTTCTCTGTTATCCCTCGCCCCTCCCAGGTGGGCAGCTTCGATGCGGGGTACGGCAGCTCTATCATGTCTCGCCTTGTGGGTCCCAAGAAGGCGAGGGAGATCTGGTTCCTGGCCAGGCACTACACGGCCACACAGGCACTCGACATGGGGCTTATTAATACCGTTGTGCCGGTGAGCGCTCTTAAGCACTGCTATTGCCATGCTGGCGCCAGTGTTGGTGTGCCTCGGTGCGTGCTGCATTAGGCAGCAGAGGGAGATCTGGTTCCTGGCCAGGCACTACACGGCCACACAGGCACTCGACATGGGGCTTATTAATACCGTTGTGCCGGTGAGCGCTCTTAAGCACTGCTATTGCCATGCTGGCGCCAGTGTTGGTGTGCCTCGGTGTGTGCTGCATTAGGCAGCAGAGGGAGATCTGGTTCCTGGCCAGGCACTACACGGCTGCTCAGGGGCCCATCAATACCGTTGTTCCCGTGAGTGTTTCTTGTTTCTGGTCAACACTCTTGCTCGACAAGGTTTGCTGTTAAAAGGTAGCAGCAGCCTGAGGGAGATCTGGTTCCTCGCAAGGCACTAGACACCCCCGCACTCCTGACACTCTGCGCATCCCTTGCCTGAACTCAGTTTTCTTTCTTATGCCCCTAAGTATGCTACTTACCTGATTCAAATAATGTTTATTGTTTGGGAGAATAACCTTTTGCCCCTCAACTAACCTTTGAACTTCTGTCCCCTCCGCTGTGTGAATCATCAGCTGGCAAGTCTGGAGGCAGAGACAGTGAAGTGGTGCCGGGAGATCCTAAGGAACAGCCCCACAGCGCTGAGGGTGCTCACTCTGGTCCCCTCGACTAACCTTTTAACTTCTGTCCACTCCCACACATGAAACGTCAGCTGGCGAAATTGGAGCAGGAGACAGTCAAGTGGTGCCGGGAGATCCTAAGGAACAGCCCCACGGCGCTGAGGGTGCTCAAGTCGGCAATCAATGCAGTGGATGATGGCACCGCTGGATTGCAGGTGGGCTGTGGGTGATGTGTTGGTGACTGTGTCGCGTGCATGGCACGGTATGCAGGTAAGGGATGCACTATACAGCACACCAGTGAGTGAAAGAATAGCCCCACGGCGCTGTGGGTGCTCAAGTCGGCAGTCACTGCAGTGGATGACGGCACTGCTGGCTTGCAGGTGGGCTGACATGAATGTGTGGGTGATAAGTCGTGTGCTGGCTTGCACACAGCAGGTAATGTGTCTACGGGATGAAGGAACATCCCCACGGCCCTGAGGGTGCTCAAGTCGGCCATCGATGCAGTGGATGATGGCACTGCTGGCTTGTAGGTAAGTTGAGATGCGTGTGCCATGGCCAGGTCTCATGTGCATAGCATGGAGGTGATGTGGCATGTGACTGATATGCAGTAATGGAGGCAGTATTCCACACATAATGAGACGAGGGAACATTCTCACGGGTTGAGACAGGTGTAAACATGCTTACAGGCGTCGCATACTGGTGGTGTGCCGTTTGTATGCCATGCAAGTGATGTGTCGTGTGCCTGCCACATGTCATATGCCCGCTCTCTTCCTTCGCTGTTATCTTCTACTTGAGTAGGAGCTGGCTGGAAATGCAACGCTGATTTTCTACAACACTCCGGAAGCAGTGGAAGGCCGTGAGTCATACTTGAGCGGGCGTGCACCGGATTTTTCCAAGTTCCCACGGCTTCCATAGGCACCAGGTTACTATTCAGCTCTAAATGCTCTTTCACTTGGGGTGATGAAGTTCCAGCTGTCAGGCAAAAAAAATGTGCAGCACTTATCGCTTCCATAATTGTTGTCCTCTATATACCACCGTAATAGCTGCTGTAGGTGAACAGTTTGTTATACTAAAACCGAAGCCGTGAACCCCTCTTTGGGTGATGATTTTGGGGAGGTCAACCAGCGCACCGCGTTGGATGCTTTCGCCGCAGGCCACACCTGTGGTGGTGGTCGGTTTGCCGTGGTTCCGTCCAGCTCGGGCAGAATTCGGTGGGATGGGATGGGATCCCTTAGGGCACGCTTGGCGGTTTGCTGGAACGATTCGATATGAGCACGCTAGGCGCTTTCGTTTTTCCAACAGCCAATATCATTGATACTCAAATTGAGAAAGCTTGCTTTCTTTCTTATCAATTGGCATCGTTCTCATTACAAGGCATCGTTCTCATTACAAATGGCGTATTACAACATTTGCATCATCGTTCGACATAAGCTAGTGCGGACTAATAACACTAGCTATTGTGTACCCTATCCAAGTGGCATTAGCAAGGCAGTTTACACTGGGGTGGGTGGTGGGAATGTTGAGTGAGCCGTTTGAAAATTGAGAAACGTGGGTGGAGGGAAATGAGCTCCAACCCACGGTTTTTGTAGTTGGAGAAGGGCGTTTAGCGCGCTTCGACGATGCCAATTGTGCAGTACAAGCAGCTTCGCTTTCACAATACACAATTTTAAAAAACACTACATGTGTGTTTAAAAATTATAATATTGAGAAAGCTTGCTTTCTTTCTTATCAATTGGCATCGTTCTCATTACAAATGGGGTCTCTGAGACATGGGCAGCGGGGGCCTCCGGTTGCGTACGAGTGCCTCTGTGTGTTGCGCCGATGACACCGCATGCGTCGAATCTTGTAGGGTACGGGAGGCTTCGATGAGGGGCTCGACGTATGGCGTAACATACATTTCCTTTGCTGTGTCGCTTCGCCATCTGCCCAGCCGTTTGAAGACTCTGTCTGGCACTCCCGTGTTGGCTGCTACTGTGGCTGCACCTTTTCGGAAAGAATGGGTGCCTAGCTGCAACTCTCCAAGGCCAACCTTTGCGAAGGCTTCCTTGCACCAGTTCCGGATCGTAGTGTATGAAGGTGGCCTAGCCTGGCCCTCGCTGGTTGAACCGTGACCGAAGACACGAATCAATGGTCCCTCTGACCGTGGGCCATAGCCAGCGAGTCGGATGAAGCGTCGGGTGCAGCGCACTGGGCAGCAGGGGTCCGCCGTTGCTGCAATGGGTATCCAAGTGCCGTGACCAGCTTGATCGGTCTTGGAGTGTGGTATGAGAATCCACATGACCTCGTCGTCGAATTGGATGTCTTGCCATTTTATGGCTACTAGGTCAGAGTATCGCAGGAATCCGGAGTACATGAGGATGGGTATCAACCCTTTCTGAAATTGCGCAGGATCGTCGGACTGCAAGTAGCTCGCGGCCATTTCCTGGACTTGTTGGATCGAGACGGGTTCCTTCAGACGAGTAGGGCGTGGGCAGTGTCGCTTTGCATAGTCACGGACTTGGGTGGTGAACGGTCCGGTTGTCGGGCATTTGCTCCCGGTCATGCGATGGGCGAAGCTGACCGCCGAGCAGGTTAGCTGCACTACGGACAGGGTGGCTTTGCGTCGGATTGCGTGTACCAGGTATAGCGCGAGGGTCATGTCGGATGCCGGGAGGAATGGAAGGTTCACTTTTGTGCAGAAGGCTCGAAACTTGGCCCAGTATGGTTCATATGTCTGGATCGTAGAATCGGCGCGGGACTGCGCGAGCATGTTGATCAGTTGGTCGTGTAACTTTGGGAGCAAATCTGAACACAAGGTGTATATATTTTGAATTAGTCAAATGCCACTCGCAGTGCAATGATTGGGCTGTGCGGTAGTCCCATGCCCGAAAAAGCAAATGAATGGGACCCTACGTCTAGGCATTGGCTTCCGTGTGTCAGAGGGATGTGCGCGTGGATGTGTGGTGCCCAAGTGCGTGGGGAGGGTTGCAAGAGTGGCCACCAGCTTGCGCCTGGCCAGTGCGGAACTATCAGTGTGAGTGATGCATGGGTGCGTTGTGCGTGATGGAGGACGGCTGGGACCAGTTGAGGTGGGGGGAAGGCGAAGTTGTTTTCAGGTGTCCACGCGATCGAGAACGCATCAACTGCAATGGCTGCCGGGTGGGGAGTCTTTGAACAGAAGCGCGGCAGTTGGGTGTTGCGGGAGTTTGCGAAAAGGTCGATGGAGTGAGGACCCCAACGACGTTCCAAGATCCGGAACCACGGCGTTTTCAGCGCGTAATCGTCGTGGTCGACCATTTTTGAAAGCTCGTCGGCGTGTGTGTTGAGCTCGCGCGGAATCCATTCAATGATCAAGCGCGTGCCAAGCGCCATGCATGTTCGGATGATGCTCTTGCATGCCGTTGTGAGGTCGGGGCTGTGAGAGCCGCCTTTGCGAAGGATGAAGAATACGCCCTGGTTGTCCACCCGCACGAGAACGTGTTTTTGCTTGATCTTGTTCGCGTACGTTTGTAGCGCCCAAAGGACGCCTTCAATCTCCCGTCGCGTGCTGGACGTTCCTCGTAGCGGCTCTGACATGGTTGCGCTAGCTTCTTCGATGCCACCCGGAAATGTGGTCAGAGTGGCGCCCCAACCATGAGAGCTGGCATCCACGTGGATTACCGCGTCGTAGCTGTTCTTGACGTGAAAAGGTGCGCCGTTGAAACGGTCGAACTCCTCGAGCCAAAATTGGAGCTCTTCTGCTGCAGATGGGGGGATAACGACGCTGCTTTTCCATGACGGTGCGTCGTCGATCACTTGTAACATAGCATGGCTGAATGCGCGAGCTGTCGCGCCAAGTGCGACACCCATCGATGCGAGCATGCCAGTGATTCTGGCCACGTGGCGGACCGGGACTGGTCGGCATGCCTTGCTTGCGCTCAGGAGGTTCCGGATGGTTGCATGTAGTGAGGCTCGTCGGTCCGGACCAATGGAGAATCGGCCGGTATCGGTCTCGAGTTCTACGCCCAGGAATCGGAGACGCTGCGATGGTGACAGTTGTGATTTCTTCGCGTTTATCACAAGGCCTGCCTCTTTAAGATCCAATATCACCCGCTGGCAAGCTGCTTGCGCGTCCTCTTTCGACTGGCAGAGAAATAAGATGTCAACCACGTAAGGTACGACTCGGATGCCTTGTTCTCGCCAACGCCGAGCTAGTTGCTTGATGAGCTGCGTGAAAACGAATGGAGCTGTCGCGAGGCCAAATGGTAGTGAACGGAATGCGTATGTGCGCTTATCAAATTCAAAGCCAAGGAACTTCCAGCACGATGGGTGGATGTCGATGTGGTGGTAACCAGATTTGAGGTCAATGGAGAACATCCAGTCCCCAACGCGCGCAAGGTCGGCGACGCGGCTGAGCCCTTCGTACTTGAACTTGGGGATGATCAAGTTGGCGTTGACTTTCCTCAGATCAAGAATGAGCCTGCATTTGTCTTTTTGCTCGACCACGTTGAGTGTACTTATGCATGTAAGCTCCGTTGCGGCCATCGGAATTGCCGCTCCCGTCTCCATGAGTTCTTGGATGGCGGTACGTGTGAACGTGGCATGCGTGTTTGCCCCGACATGATTGCGATCGTGGAAATGTTGCGGTGGGTCGTGGCTCCATGGCAGCCAGTAACCCTTGGCGATGACGGAGAGGACAAGGCTGCTGGGGCACCATGAGCTCCACCACGCAAATGTCGCGCGAAGACGACCGCGCATGTGTGTAATAGTTCTGTCTGTAACGGCAAATTCGTACGGATCGTCGTAGCATGCCGCCTCGCACCGTCGTGCTCCTGTACATTTGAGGCCAAGTGGTATAAGCTTTGAGTATTCCACGTTAAAGCATGCGTGTGCATGTACTTTGTACGGGCAACCATTGATCGAAGGTGTGAAGAGAATGAACAATTGAATGAAATGTCAACGAATGTGTCGGGAATATTAACGCATGTCAACGCATGTCTCTTCTTCTCCTCGTTTCCCCTTTTTTTTTTTTTTTTTTTTGCCCCGTCGTCCACTTGGTAGGACATGGCTGTGCCTGCCCTTAGTGCGTAGGGGCTGATGCCTAGGGCCATGGACACCGTTGTCCATTGTGCTTTCTCTCATTCTCTCTTTGCCAAAACCATAGGCCTTTAGGAAGGTAGTTTTTATTAAATCAACCAACACACATAGCAATGCTTTCCTAGGATGCCACCAAGTGGCCAACATATGGGACCGAGGGGTTGTTGTTCCCCTTCCCTATCCTAGGCCCAAGCCTATCCCACCTTTTACTAGGGCTGGCCTCTTGCCATCGCAAACCCCTAGGGTTGCCCACGGTTTTCGCACTCAAGAGTGCACCGTGCCTAGCGCCCAAGCGCCTAGTCTCATGGCCCGCTCCTACACCACCGGAGCGGGTCCCTGGCCTCCATGCCCGTTCCGAGGGCAGGCACTTGCCACGTGGCCCGGCTGGCCGCAGCGGAAGCATGAGCCCCGGAACCCACGGCAATTGGCCGTAGGCGGGGGGCCTCGCTTGGGTAAGAACGGCATCGGCCCGTTGTTTCCGCCGCGGTTGACACGAGCGTATCCGCTTGCCGCACGGTCCATCGCCGCCATGTCCGCGACCGGCTGCTTGAAGGGTCGAGAAGTCAGCAGGCTCTTCTGCTGATACAGCTTAAAGCGCTTCGCCGTGCGAAAGTCGGAGGCGTCCTCCACTTGAAGCACCTCGAAACGCCCCGCGATGAGGTTGAGAGCGTGTGAGATGAGTTCGAGTCCGCCCGCCGGATCACCGCGCTGCGCCTTGTATTCGGCGTGCAGCAGGTACGCCCGCAGGTCCTCCAGTAGCTCCGCTTGCTCTCGCACGGAGTCGTTGACGAAGGTTGCCGCCGAGAAGGTAAGATTAGAAGAAGGGAGGGGGGGAAGGTTTTCCGTGCCAATAAAATTAA